AAAATGGATATTACATGGAAAAATGAAGAGACAATTAGTAAGCAACTAAGAACACCATTTTGCCTCTCACTCACATAAGCAGACTTTGATATTTTTCTATAATAAAAAATTAAGAAAAAAAATTAATCATTAGAGTGCATCAATGATTAATGTAACATATAGAAGGATTGTAGTTAATAACATCTTATTCTCCACAATATTTTTCTTTATAGTTCTATGGAAAAGAATAAAAAAAATATATATTTAAGATTAAAGCTTTTCTTGGTAGCTACTTAGTAGGTGGTACTATATAATGGACCCACACTAAAGTCCCATAGCTACAATATTGTTAATCCATATATAAGAGAAGAATTAACTTTATTAATTCAAGTAATGTAATAATTAGTCTTAATCATCAAATAAATAATTAAAGTAATAAAACCAAGTGACTCCAATTTACACTTGATATTAAGATACCATCTTAGCTAATTCCAATTATACATGAGGGAAGTAGGAGCCAAGCTTAGAGTTCTTTGTCATTTCAAAACATCAAAGTAAAAAAGGTTCTATAATATGAAACAAGATCACGTTAGCATAAAAGAAGATTCTTCCATATGTGAAGTATCTATCTTCATAATGCCACAAGAAATGGTTAAATAGTAGTATTTGATATCAACTTGATGTTAAGAGTTTTGGCCAAACTCCACAAAAATGATTTGAAAAAATATAAAAACATATAGACACATAGCAACCTCATAAACTTCACGAAGATATAAGAAAAGTTTCAATTAAAATAAGATCAAGAAGAAACATGGATGACCTCAATTAAGAGACTTTATTGTGTTCAGAGACCATTCTTGATAGATCCTAATCTTGTGCGAGAAGAATTGGAATGGATCAACTTCTTTCCTATGGAAACTACAAGCCTCTCAACAATACCATAGCAAATCAATAGGGACCATCCGGTGGTTGTTATAATTGAGAAATTTTAGATTTCTTTGTAAGTCCAAATATACAGAATTAGTAGTAAGATGAACTTGCTAGTAGAAACTAGTAAGAAATTTTGATAATAATAGTATAAGTGGGAAGGATATGAAGAATAAAGTACCATACATATATGTGGTATGCTCAAACAAATTTGAGTCATCTTCATGTGATCCAAGCCATGTAAAAAACCACTCTATTATACTATAGCCAGATTGACTATCTTATATAGAACCTTAGTAAATTTCTATGGCTAGAGGGATTTTTCTTCATATACTTTATAGCAGAAATGAGACAATGCTTATTGTAAGAAAGACATTAAGTATAGAACGTGGTTACCTTAAAGTAAAGGAGAGTGTTATCTATTAACTTCAAACTACGATAGATGAATGTAAAGAAAAAAAAGTGGAAAAAAAAAGAAGCAAGACTTCTTTGATTAATTTGGTATTGCACTATTATAATATGTGTTGTCTTATTTGGAAATGCACCAAGCACGTGGTTGTTGAAGGTGAAGTTTTGTTTTACAAATATCTAAGAAATCCTAATAGGTTTCATCCATATAAGAAGAATATAATTTGAATGTTAATCCAAAAGTGCTTAAAGCCAATACAAAGTATTCAAAAACATGCTTCTTAGTAACCTCAATTATATATAAACTCCAATTGCCTTATTACTTTTATAATTAGGTAATTTTGATTTCTCTTTATAAGCTCTAACCCTAGTTAGTGAACTTTGGTAAGTTGTAATTTTTAATTTGATCATCTACTCAATGCAAAATTTTGCATACAAATACCACTATAAGTCTTTTATATGTTTATAAAAAATTCAGCCCAATCTAATATATAAATTGTGAGAAAAAGCCCAAAAACCACAATAATGTCATTTAGCCACCAACTTGAAAGTTGATGAAAATGTTCCAATAGTAATTTCTCCTTTTCTAACTATTAACTTTAAGTCAAAATTAGTATATAGCTTGATCTTAAAGTCTTCTAAAACCATGACAAATTTCACTTTGATCCAACTATTATATCTTTAGATATCATAGAAATCCTACTTGATCCTAAACTGCCAACTTCTAATACCCTCTAGTACCAAAACCTAGATATCTCCCAATTTCACTATTAATTTGATACAAAATTTTACATACTTTTAGTACACCTAATCAACCAAGTACTATCAAATTTTGAATGGTAGATATGACACCAATTGTACAAACTAGCTAAGAAAGCTGGCTCTAATTGTATTGCATAAATTCCAAAACATTGATACATATCATGACTTTGAACAATGATTGCAAAGTCATTTTAAATCCTATGAAAATAATCCTTATACCTTTGGAATAAGCTTAAAGCTAGTTGATAAATTCCAAATGTTAATCTTCAAATGAATTCCTATTTTTTCCTAAGCACCCGTTTTTGTGGCAAGAGGCCTGATTACAACTCTATCCCACAAATGGTTGATCCATGGATATCAATCCAACCTATCCTAGGGATTTTTTAGTCCAGCCCTATCCTCAATTTAATCTTAGTATCAACCATACTAATTATTTATCTCTTATATCCTATTTTTACTAATTTATGGCTTTTCTAAGGTAGTAAAAAAAATTCTACAATCTCAAAAGTAAAATTACTAACCAACCTTTAATCTACTAGATATTAAGACAAGAAAATAAACTAAGAAGATTTCGTAAAAACCATGTTTAAATGTCTTAAATTACTATTAAACCAAGATGATTAAATATTAATTAGAAATTCATTTTTATTATATTTTAATCATATAATTGTATTATAACATGACATAGTAATGACAATTAATGCATAGAGAGGACATGTCGATGGAAGCATCAATCAATACAACTTGGTGTATTTAATAGATATGAGAGAAATTCTACTCTACCAATTTTGGAAGTTCCTCTTGAAAGTAAAGGGGTAGAGTTGGAGGTCCCATATCCTTCAGCTTATTAACTCAGACGAAGGATAAATGGGCCACCTAAAAAAGGGCAAAAATGAAAATACACTTTGTATAGCACAAGTTGAAGGATGACAAGGTAATAGAGAAATGACAAAGGTGGAGAACATGGGAAGCCATAACCCCACAAATTTCTTGCTCTGATGGAAAAATTGCATATTTGCATGCAAGATCCCATGAAGGTTTAAAAAAGTAAGTCGTTTTTGCACTTATTGAGGGAGACAATCATCTGGATTTTGTGGATTGAACGGAATGATGCGGCCTTTAATAGTGTACATTGTTCCATAGAGCGATTATACCATACAATGTGGCTCCACATCGTAGACTACTAACAAAGAAGTCTACTTAACACTTATCTACATCAATATTAGATGCATTGCATGAAGTACTCATTTATGTATGTTGCAAAAGATAATTTTGGAATTTACAAACATGAAAAGAGATTGTTGATATTTCAAGGTACTGTAGAAACCTATTTTTGAAAAGTCCTTCAAAATAGTCTATTAGAATAAGAATTCAAAATATTAATTTGGAGCTTTTTGAAATTTTAATAACTAAAGTATTTTATTTTTAAACACGCAAAACATTACAAACAAGACTAATACAGCATTTTATAACTAATTTACAAGTATTCTGTAAATCATAGATAAATATTGATTAAGCAAAAAGTTTAATAAATTTCACACTTCAAAAAAAAACAATAAAAATCACACAAACAATCCTCTAATTTATCCTATCCTTAAGGTAATATAAAAAGTATAAGTATTGTATCTAACCTTACAAGTTCTGTAAACTACAAATCATACAAATAGCACTCACAATATTGGTACTCCAATCTAAATTACCATAAAATTTATAGCAAAAACATCATGCAAATAGATGTGCAATATATCCAAATTCATTTGATTTAAACATACAAAAACATATACCCCAAATCGTAGAACAAATCAAATATAACTTAATCAAAACCAAATAAAACAAAACACACTATTGCTGTATTTTGTGCACGGTACAGCCACGAATCATTACCAAACCCCACCTGCACCAAATGCCATATCAGAACACACCTCATTCTCTCATTGGGAAACCCAGACCCAAAACACGCACTCAATGAAATTCCTTCTACAATTCTTCACTACTTCTAAATCTTTACATTTCTCCTGTCCCGAAATGCGTGGCTTAAAACACAACAACTAATGAAACACTGACCTTTGCGAGCAGGGGAGTATACACAAAAGTTTTGTCAGCTTTGGTGTTTGAACAACATTGTGGCTTCGTGGCAGCGAGGAAAACCTGAATGGAAACTAATCGGTCCTAGCAGTAGCTATACAACTAGGAATAGCCCTTAACTTAACCTACCTGGGCGGACCTGGCTGGGGATATGCACATTAATCCTCTGCAACAAAGACCAACTTTATGTGTGTCAAAAAGAAAGAAAAGAAAAGAAAAGAAACCTCAGGTTGCAGGTACACAAGTCAATTTCTATTCTTAGTTAAAAAAAATCACTACGTAACGGTGTACTTTGTCAAGTACATTGAAAAGGGATTATACAGCTGACTCCACGAAAGGTGACGTCTATGACCAACTCCCGACAATCAACTGGAAATTGAAGGTGCAAACAACTCCAGCTTGCATCCAGCTGGACTACTACTACAGACAAGAAGAAAGCTCGTAAATGGAAGTAGGAACCAAAATGTACCACAGGCAAATCTAATGCACAGTCCATGCCTATACATCATCGCTGCAGGGTCATGCACGTACTGTGCCAATATAAAGCCCCACTTGTTTAACATATCTTTTTCTCTAACATAAGTCAGTTGACTCGCACATCTTTCGTCAATCCGGCACAATCTAGTGAACCTTGAGAGAGAGGACATGTTGTTGCATTAACTTGCGGAATTAGGGATGGAAGGACACGGCTATTTTTAACGAAATGCGCCTTGGTGTGTATTGGAAATATCAAAAACATCAGGGGATTCACTTGAAATAAGACAGATTAATCAAGGTGTGTAGGTGGCGTACATTCAGCAGTTTGGATACCCATCCTGACAATCACCGCTGCCATCTTATCCAATCGACAATCATTGAATTGATCAAGAATTCAGAATGGTAATGGCTGATTATGGCAACCGCATGGTGCCGGTAGGCATGGCCAACAATTGGTACCTAGTGTTTTACATCCTGGCCTACTATCAACTACATGTTTATTTACTCCGTAGATGTCCAACAAAACCCTCGAAGTCGGAAGAACACGCTGAATATGACTAAATAAGATTTCTTCAATGACAAAGCAAAAGCTCAGCGACTTCCATCTGCTGATCAACGCTTAAGACCACTAGATTAATCTTTTATTCAGAGTGTGAGAAATGATCAAGTCCGCAGACTAAGAAATCTGACCGAGGATAGCGACCTTAACTACGGGGTATATTGGGAGCAGCCAACAACAGCAAGACCATTCGAGATCTGAGATCGAATCCGGTCAAATGAAGGTGATCTTCTTCTCTTTCAGAAAGAGGATCGAGTAAAATACTTGACAACTGATACCTACAAGCTACACGCTCAAGGCATCACGATTCAACAATACTCTGAACAACTGGGCCCAAAATTTGTGAGTAGTCAGCCGCGACCAGCATGACAACCATTTAGGGTGGACCTTAATGTGAACGCACAGTAAGTCCTGAAAGAACTCACTATCCACTTCCCAGATGTGATCCATCACCTACTAATATTTTACCTGCACGGCTTCATCTCAACTCCGTTCCTCCCTCTTATAGCCACCTTGTCCATCCAGGTTTCAGCATATTCTACCTTTAGGGGCAAGCTGTCCATTATGGTGGACGATTGATCCACTACCTTCAGTGTAATCCCAATTCTCTTTTGGGAAGGAGACGTGGTTACAGAACGTCGAGGGGTCAGATGAAGCTTGAGTTCTTCGTAACCACGAACAGTATGTACATCCCATGTAACTTTCGATCCGATGGAAGGTAACAATTTTATACGCAATAACAGCTCCCTTACCTTCCTCAAAGTTGAAGGACTTGGTCTGAAGGCGTAAATCGTCTTCTTCGATGTACAAAGCATTGGCACCTTATCTTGCTCTCTGCAATCTCATCCAGATTGGTGCATACTGTTGTCTTTCGTCAGAAAGCACCCCCATTTTTCAAGTTTGAACCACTTTAACCGATTCCTTCTCCTTCCGCTTCTCCACATTCGCTGGTGCAATGACCTGGGCCTCCTCTACCAAAATGCGTTTGCAAGCCTCATAGCACATGAAAGATATACCTGCAGCTGGAATAATTTTAATGCAGCTTGCCCCAAGCCCGCGGTAGAGACCTCCAGGTCCATGTTCTTTCACGATGCTAGACAGCACATGAAGTACATTATTGTATGCCTGTCGTCCACCGATGTTTCCAACCTGCAAGTTCCGAGATTTAAACTGATACTTTCACCAAAAATCCTGGGCGCTAATAGCTTAGGGTGAGAATTGCTATAAGAATTGCGCAACTCGAAAAATTATGGTGAACAGAAAGACGACAAGTTACAACTGAAACCTGACTATATTTCTCACTCGTTGTTGTTTGAATTAAGACACCTAATATGAATCCTTCAGTTCCTGAGATAAGTTAATATTAAGAACACCAATCATACCTGCATTTTTTTCCGTGCGACTTCTAATGGGAAAGATGCGGTACTCGCAACAGCGCCTGCGATGGAGCCCATCAAAAGCGTCTCTAAGTTACCAATATCTTCTCTCTTCGCGATTCTTCTGTACGTCTTCCTCAATGTGTCATAAGAACAGTAGTTGATGGCTGCATACGGAATCACACCGATAAGGCTCGGAAGTAGACCTCTGTACAGCTCCGTGGGTCCCTCTTCTTTACAAATCTTGAGGAATGCATGTAACAAGTTGTTGTACATACCATGCTGCAAATGAAAATAAAATTAGTTACCATGCAATACACTAGGACGTATCAAATCAACAAAGAGAGAGTTGACTTAAGACGGTACACTCCTGTCGAAAGGGTCAAAGGCACAAATCAATGAGGGAATACAACTGCCTGGCCTCAAAATTGAGAGTTTCTCTAAAACATCTCACATCTAAAACATAAATAGACATCATTAGGGTAGTTCGGTAAAAACAAAACAAAAACAAAAAAAAAAAAAAAAAAAAAAAAAAACAAAACAAAACAAAACAAAACAAAACAAAAACAATGATCCTCAGTAATCATAATAAATAAATAAATAAGTTATGTAGAGTGAAACAGAGCCACATGTAACATCAGGTGTCTGGTGGCGTACCTCAACAGTCAACCGTGTCTTCAGCAACTCAAGAGGATACATGGTCAATGTCGAACATACACCAGCCGTTGCACCTGCTATAGTAGAAGCAGGAACTGGGAGCCGCGAGGGTTCCCCGTTCTTAGGTGTCAGAATCGTCTTCATTGTGTCGTACGCAAATAGCTGAGCATACCACGCATTCAGTAAGATAATGCGTCAACCTAGTTGTGAAAAGGACATCCTTTTCAACAGTACTGCTTCCATCACTGTGAAAATTCACGCCCAGTGAATCCCAAACAGCCTCTGCTTGAACTCTTGAAGACCGTGGAAACACAGTACACAGCATGTGTGCCATGAGCGTGGGCAGAATAGCCGAAATGATCACCGAATCCTCCTACTGAAGTACATAACATCTGCAATCACTGAAAACTTCCATCAAACCCTGCCACACAAGTCCGAACCTGGCGTCGGTTGAATTCGAGACTCACCTCAATTGCTTTACTCGGAGCCACCCGCAATACATTTACACCGTTTCCTCGGAACAGGCCTTGCCAGCCATCCCTCTCCATAATAGTATGAAACATACCAACTACCGAAATCTTGCCGCGACCAGTCCCAACCATGAGATGAGTGCGAATTGTCTCCAGAGGAGCAACTGCGGTTCTGGACACGGCACCAGCAATAGCTCCACTCAACAGTCTCCTCAAGGAGGCATTGCCAACTTTCAGTTTAAAACCCTTGAACGCCATTCTCTTCGGCTTCCTCTGCTCCTTCACGACGCTCTCCTCCACCTCCTCCTCCTTCACGAGACCAAGAACGTCCCTGAAAAACTACAATCTCTTCAGAATCAAGCCAACACACAACCACCCATTCAAACGACAAACTCTCAACATTCTCCAGCTCCCATCACCACAAAAACCCTCCACTCACCGGAATTCAGCTTCCGTGGGCAGCAACGTCCTGAACCCAAACTCCAAAGCCGGCGGCATTGCTTTCGCCACGCTCGCCACCCCAGCGCTCCCTTTCCTCCTCCTCACATTCTCCACAGCACTCCGCTCGGACGTGCTACACACCAACGACGGCATTGACGACGTCACACCCTCGGCGAACAGCTTCTGACTGGCGGGGCGTTGCAATCCCCCCCTGCTGCCCGCCCTCGCCACGGACACATTCGCTGCGAAGCTCTCAGTCCCATGGCCCCCCATCCAGGACTCCTCCGCCTTGACTCCTCCGCCCTCTTCTTCTCTCATACACACACACACGCACACACCTCTCACCACCGACCCACCTTCCAAAACACTCCGTAAACTCGCGAATGCTCACAATCCCACACGCCCAATCCCGCAATCAATCTCCGACGGAGGGATTGCGCTTGCGGTGATCACTGAGATCAGGCAGGCCCCCCTGCCTCTCACCTTCTCCTTCTCCGCTCTCTCTCATCTGCACTCCCATGTCACAAGGGTTGATAAGAGTATTCCCCCTCGCTCCATCTTCCCATTTCCTAAATTTGGAAATATCAGGAGATTTCGTGGATTAGTAGGTTCGGTGTTCGACTCGGGTTCTGGTTTGGCGTAGTGGACATGGGAATCTAGGATAGGTGATGATTTCTGGGCCACTGTTGGCTGGGTGGTCCGGAAACCAATCGCGAGGTAGGTCTGGATACAAGCCTAGGGTTGGTGCCAGGTGTGGGTGTGGTCTAGGTTTGGGCTCCGGCTCAGGGGCCCCGATTTGCTGGGCCTGCTGAGGTTCCTACATTGGTACGGAAAAGAGGGAGAGGCTCGGGATTACGAACCTTTCTTTCAACTGTAAACTGTTTGTCCGATGTCCCTTTGCTGAGCTCTCTGTCTCACACAGTCATGCTTCCAAAGGGGCCCCTCCGACTGGCATATTTATTGCTTGGGTGCAAATCCTCCACATTGGTCTTTAGAGTGGACGAGACGGCGGCTTCAAAATATTACCCTTGAGGGAAAAAAAAAGATGCCCAAACGCCAACAATAAAACTTTGGATCAACACCGCCTTTCAGTTCTTTCCCCCATTTTACCGAGATTTTCATCAGAAAAATAAGGTTTGGTTACAGTACTCGAAACATGGGGTTCTTGAGACACAAGCGAAGAAATATGATTTGGATTGGACCACTTGGCCTGTGCAAACTACTCCTCTTTCTGAAGGCTGGTGATACTGTGTCTAGAAAAGCAAAAAATAAATAAAAATCGCCACGTCAGGGAGTTGTCCACACGGACTGTCAATTCTGTTGAGATGGACACACACCCAGAGACGCACTCGTTCACAAAAACAATTATCAGGAAAAGGAAAAACGTCAGCTTTTTTCATTCAGGCTTTGTAATAGGCCTATCCACAAGCAATACCATCCAAAGAACCCACTTTTTGTCAAGTCTGAGGGGATAAAGATTTAGGGAGGAGCAGGAGATGAGGCCCTACAGAAAGCCCAGCCACAAGCTCTGCTAAGGAAAGGGGCTCTCCCATGTCCACTGTCTTGACAGCATCAATGCATCCAACAACACACAGGCGCTCATTTCTATGCCAAATAGTTGGGAAAACGGATAAAAGCCCCCTCTAATCCAACGGATGAGGCCCGGTTTAGGGGCCCACAATTGCTATCGTGGCAGGGGGTAGCCAGGTGGAGGCCCTACATTGGATGGTTCATTTATAAGTAGTATCTAAGTCGATTCGAGAAGGCCGTTTCTCGGCCATGAACCCCACAACTCCCCACCTCTGTCAAACCATGCAAATGTCACTTTTAGAGTTTGTGGAAAGGCTGTGGGATAGGGGGTGCTCGTCCAGCTAATTCTTAACTAAAGTGCTCCGCGAGTAAGAGTATAATAACACAAAGCACTGGAAAGAGGCACCCATGGTTTATTTTTATTTTATTTTTTCATTTTTTCATATTTTTGCATCTCCCAATCCAAAGTGGAATCGGAAATATGCTTTGGGAATATGCAGAAATGACACATCGCTTACCTGGCACCGTTTCCACGTCATTGGAACACATCATCAAAAAGGACTTGAAAGGTGATGGAGTTGGGGAAAAAGGAGTGACATGTCGAGGTTTTGGGTGCTTGGTAACCGGAAGCTTCACCCTATCAAGTCCTAAAAAAACACAACAATCTTCACAGCTCACCGTCATACTGCATATTTTAATCTTCTTTATTTCTTTTTCTTAAACAATAGGTTGTTGTGTCGTCACGGAAGTTGGGTACAATTCCAAGGTTTCTAAAATATACCATCTGGATAGGGAAGCCAAAGTCCAATTCTCGGGCCCACGTCAGTACATTTGACTGTGTGTGTTTGTCCAATTACTGCCGTTCATGACGTATTTGTAGGGGATTGGGTTAGCTACCCGATGTAACTTTCAGCCTCCGAACTGTGTTTGAAGCCATGTCAGAGGTCAACTCATATGAGTCTCACACCTCCTCAAGTCCACTGTGGGCTTCGCGCTAACTCCTGGTGTAAAGCAGCCTTCAGAGTGTTTTCTGAGCAAGAGTGGGCATCAGCTTGCTTACAGCTCCAAAACTGGGCATCCAGAATATAATCCGAGAACAGACCCATCCAATTCAAAGAAAAGCAGATAGTAATCGGTACAAGATGAATTATACAGTGATTTGAGAGAGCTCACATATCTGATTACACGGTTGTCTCAGTTAGCAGCGTGGAATGGAACAGAAAAAGGAGTTTTGATGGTATTAATACACAAGTGGAAAAGCCATACTTGTAGGACAACATTCTGCACACCAAAGCCCTTGCAACAGACTCTTCGAGGTAGTGCTCGAAGGATAGTCACACACCACTGCTGGTGGCCATAATGTACAAAGCTCAAGGTCAGATACAACTCAAACGAGTTGTCCTGTTGAGCTTCCTGTTGGATCTTCGAAACTTGGTGTTGGACCTATCATAAAGGAACTTCACCACTACATATACCCCGTTTACTGCACATAGAAGGGAAACATTGCAACGATGATGAATGCTGATCGAAAGTTGTCCTCGACTTGGGTACCCAGATATCTGTCTCCAGGACTCGTGAGGCAATGCTCCTGTCGAACAGAAAGTTGGAGGATTGATGTAGTAGTAAACAATATTTCAAAACCTGTGGATTTGTGAGAATGGGTGTGGTGCTCAGGGACCGAAAGCTAGCGGCTGTCCCTCAGAATTATGAGCAACGAACGAGACGGACTGTCTTGTGTGTTACATTGGGGTGGTGCACTGGCATCCTGCGATTGTTCTCCGACGTCTGAAAGGGTTTTGCACGCAAAAAGAATTTTGAGGATGGAGTCAGGAGGCGCGGGTTCGCATACTAGCAACCATATCCATCAGGGTTTCAAGCTCCGCTAGTGCACTGTCTCTTTCTTGTGCTAGTTGCATTGCGACTTCCTCAAGGGCTTTTTTCTCCGCGTCTGAGCTCGCTTTCAAGTTTTCCGCCTCCCGAATGGCAACGTCTCGCTCCTGTGCTAATTGCAGTGCCACTGTTTCTAGAGCCTGGTTCTGGGACTTAAGCAAACCAACCTCTCGCTCGAGCATCTCCTCTATGCCCTTCATTCTGTCACTCATCAACTCCACTGTCGATTTCAAGGCATTCACCTCCGACATGGCAGTCTCTCTCTCCTCTGCGAGCTGCAATGCCACAGTTTCGAGTGCTTCTTTCTCAGCAAGGGCTTGAGTGTACTGAGATGTCTGCCGCTTTAACTCCTCCACTTGGTTAACAGCCATGTCACGCTCCCGCGCTAGCCGTTCCATGGCAGCGACAGTCCCCTCGTCCAAATCCGGTGGCAGCACGAGGCTTGTTTGCTGAACTTTTCCCTTCGTCCCTATGTCCACGATAGCTATCACAGCCTTGACAGGCGACACTTTGAGTTTCTCTTGTTCCCCTCGAACTACACGACTGGCAACTAACACCGAGCATGCCAGGCCAACTATTTGCATGGCCTCTGGAATCAAAGGATACTTGTCTAAGGAATTGAGCACAGCAGCGGAGAGAAGAACAGCAAGAGTGGCTGAACCTCCATATAATGCGAGATTGCCTGGTCCCTGCTCTTCCAGCTTTCTCTTTGCGTCCTCTAAAGCATTTGACAAAGTGTTGCCACCGGAGTTTCCTTTTGTAGAACCTGCGGTTTTCTTCGCTTTTCCAGAGCTTGCATCTCCCAGCACCGAATCCACATCTGTATTAGCGTCGCTCTCTCTGGGTTGAAATGGCAATTTCAACTCCTTGTTTTTCCAATTCAGCTTCTCTCTCAAAGTCGAGAAATCCTCCTGAGCTGAGCATCTTGTTTGCAATGGTCTTCTTTGGATACGGCTGAGATGAACCTGAAATTTTTCAAGAAAGACTTCACATATGCTCTCATATTTCGTCAAATGGTTTGATAGCATGCCGAGTGCAGTAAGAGATGTGGAATTACCTGTTGGTGACGAGAATGGTTGCAAAACCGTAAAGACGGGAGCTGAAAGTTGCTCACAGAAATCGCCTCGGATGCCCAGCATTTCTGGATGAATGCCATTGTGAGCACCTCGGTGATCTCCTTCAAACGGAAATCATCAATCCGCAAGGATCTGCACACGAAAACAGGTCCATTGATACGAAGACTTGAGGTGAATAATGTGGTCATCTAAAAACCCTAGTTAAGTAAAAGCACACACGAATCTGCCTTTAGAGCTAACTAGCAAGAAATGAATCTCCAATTTACTCCTTCCAGAATATGTTCCTTGAAATTTATCCTCTTTCTCACGATATCCTTCATGAATGTCCTTCATGAAATCTACTACACAACAACACATATGCAGCACGTTCGTACAAAATTTGAGCAAGCCCTATTGCTCAAAGACAATTATCCAAACAAAAAGTAAAAGTCCAGGAAGCTGAATTTGGAAATAAAATGACACAGAACCAAAGGGATAAAAGAAGTGCACAACCGCAAACCTATAAACCCAGTAGGTCAAGCACAAGCATAAAGATTAACTTCCAAAAAGAAAAAAACCCCCTTAATTCAACTTCAATACCCAGAACCTCAGATGTTCGCAGCAAGCACAGAAAGACCCAGAAGTGTTGGTCGCAAAAGAAAAAGGAAGCTCACAAGTTGTTGCACCACCACACAGGTTGCGCAAAGATGAGGACACACTAACACACATTCAAAAGTGACGGCGAAGTACAAACAGCAGCACGTTGAAAAGATAACGGCGTAACCAACCCGAAGATACATAAATGAGAGTAACAGAGAGACAATCACCAGCAGCTCACAATCGAAGAATTCAGCCCCATCTCCACGCAAGAGGGTTGCGCCTGGGTGCAAAATGAGGCGACGAGAGAGACTGCCACCAGCTGAATCTCACACACTGTGCCAAATGGAGATACTTGCAATGGACTTTCGCTCTGAGTTGAAAACCCTTCCAAAAGTCCACTGTAAAGTGCAAAGCACATGAAAGTGGCCAATCACAGTTATCGCCAGGCATGTGCTACTATTTCCCAGATACCGAAAAGATAGCACTGATTAGCCATTTGTTGTGCTGGAAATAGATCATCTGCTTCAGCTGCTTAGTGACGAACCTTTGCTCCACAAAATGGTTTTGATTCATATGGGTCCTCCTCAAAGTTGTGAAGGTTGATAAGTTGTCTCTGCGGATGTGCAACCGGAGCGTTCAAACTCAGACACCACAACCCACATGCCTCACAGGATTGCAGCAAATCCTTACCTTGCGACTATTCTGTGGCATTTGCAGGCAGAGTAGGTATCGACTAAATGCAGTAATTTGCGCTGCTATGACCACGCCTGAATGAGGTTGTGTGTGAAGGCAAACGTTGGGTGGGATATTGACACAATAGAGGGTACGAGCTTGATTGGTTTGGTTCAATCTGGAGTGACATTGTGGAAGATGTGCAGTTTTCTTTTTTGGTTGGAAAATGTTGAGATTCTGGGGGGAAATGGATAAATGTGTTGATTATGTCAAAAAACAAAAGAAAAAAAAAATACATCATTTTTAACAGAAGAGAGGATCCAATGGTGAGAGAAGTCACATGAGGCAATCAAGCACAACACACACATTTATTTATTTATTTATTTATTTTTATTTATTTATCTTTTTGTAGAAAGAGATGGAGGTACTGGAAGCATTTTGTAGTAGTGGATGGCCGATTAAACAAAGTCTGAGAGAGATTTTTTTTTTTTTTTTTTTTTTTTTTTGGTTTCAAATGCCATTATGCAAGATTTCTGCTAAGAACATAAACTTGCAATGTTGAGGTAGATAGTGATAAAGTCTATGTTGAAATAGGTTTGTTTTCAAGTCATGTTGTTATCACATATTTTGTAGAAAGGAATATTTTTGAAGAACTTGTGTAGAATTTACTTCAACCAAAGTTTCAACTTGAATACAACTTTTTTAGAATACAAATATAGATAGAAAAAATATATATATATCTATCTAAATAGATTTTGTGAAAGAATAGATTACATTACACATAATTGATTTACAATATAGAAGATCAAGATAACATGGTTTTATTTGACCACCTATTAATGGAATTTTCTATCCAACTCTAACATCATCTACCAATAAACTTTTTATGTAAGATGAGCTCTTTCTAATTTAAAGATTTTATAATCAAATAATAAATACATAAAATTTAAGTAATATTAATTTAAGATGTATTATCTTAGAATGAAATTTAAATGATTTACATGATTTAATAAACAATATTCTAAATATTAAACCTTATAGAAGTTTAGTATTAAAATAGAAATAAAAATAAAATTAGATAACATTCAAATTTTTTTTAAGTTTATTCACAAAATATTAGGTCTAAACTTGCTTTGAGTAAGAATTGAAAAAAATTACTACAACATAGGTAAAAAAAATTTAAAAATAAAAACAACAGTAACAACAACAATTAGAAGATCAAATATTGTGATTTAGAATTAAGTAAAAATTCTCTGAAAATAAAATTTTAAAATTATTTAATGTATTAATTAATAAATTTATATATTTTTAGAATTCAAGATAATTAATAAGCTCTTAAATAATCAAGATATTACTTATATAATAAAAAAATTAAATATAAGATAAGAGACAAAAAAATCTTTTTCATTGATCAATATCAAAAATAAATAAATAAATAACTAAATAAAAGTCCTACAAAACTTAGAGAACGTTCTTCAATTTATTATCTATATAGCAGATTTATTTTATATATATATATATATATATATATATATATATATTTACAAGCTAATAATATGGCACACATGTAGGAAACTTGCCTTGGAAGTTAAGAAATGTGTTTCACAGATTAGATACATGTTGGAGGTCCTATAGAACGTTACTACGTAGCTTCTAGTTAGATAGTATATATAAAAGCAAGAATAAAGCCTTCTTTACTCTTATCAATATTTTTTTAGTTCTTCATTTTATTTTTAGATATTTTAGTATTCTTATCCTTAGCAATAGCTATTTTAATTTCAATACTATATTAATTTTGAATAAATATCTATTCTTTTTGAGTTACACAAGAATATATTGAGTTTTTGGTTCCTTGAAATTTACATCCTTGACAATTTAACAAAAGTATTAATTCATTGTTCTTATCTTATTTTTAGAAGTGAGTAGACTATCCTACTTCTATTGTTGTGTTTTAAAGGTTGTAGACTATTCATCTTCAATCTAACATTTTAGTTTTCTAATAGTGATTTTTTCCTTAACGAGAGTAGACTACCTTTCTTTGTAGAAATTTTTCATTTGATCTTAGAGGTTACAAATTATCTACTTCTAATTTGACTTATATATTTTTTTGGATTTTCTATAAAAGAAAAAATTATGGATGCTATTCTTAGTAGAAGTGAAAATAGATTTACAACCATTGAAAATCTTCATGAGCTTGTTAATAGTCTTAAGGTGGAAATATCAAGTATCTCTAATATCAACTATAGAAGTAGTATTCCAATTCCTATAAAAGAGGTCAAGATTGAAATTCAAAGCTTATGCCAAGAAATTCTGCAATTGAAAGAAGTAAGTAGATCAAGTTTATAACTAAATCCAAAAAGTCTTGTTTCTACAAGTATAAGGGAGGTAAGGATAAGTATGTTGGAAAAGTTTCATGGAACAAGATCAAAGTTTTGAGGATTTTTACAACAAGTAAAGTTCTATTTAAGGTTGCATCTATTTCAATATCTCAATGGATTTATTGAAGTTAGATCTATAGGTGCACTTCTCTCTAAGAGTGATTTTTCTTGGTTTGTACTTTTGATGAAAAAAGATTTATGACTAATTTATGATTTAAATTCATTATTAAAAGTCTTTGTGGCCATATTTAGAAAAAATAATCAAAAAGATAATAAATATTAAAGTTGTATTTTTACGTCAAAGATCATATTTAGCTACCATATTTATTACTGAATCCAAAATCTTACTTGCGACATTGATAAGAATGATAAAGCCCTTATTAATCAATTTTGATATGAATTAAAAGATAATGTCAAAGATTTAATATTGAAAATACGAAGAAAAAATTGATTAGATGAATTTATTGCTTAAGCTATTACATGCAATAATCAATTCTTTGAAAGATGTCAAGAACAAAGATTTGGTTAGAGAGATACAAATCAAGTTATGGCAATAGCTTCTAAGTTTACAGAAGCTTATTCATCAAGGTCAGAACCTATGCAAATTAGTATGATACATTTCAAACAGCTTATTGAGTACAAAAGATTTGACATTGTTAAGAAGAATTGTACCTATATTGTAGAGAACCTTAATACATTGCTTAATATTATCCAAAACAACAATGCAACTACAAAATGAGGATTATGGTTGGCAAAGAGGAAAATATATCAAAAAATCAATTTTTCAAACTACAATAGAAACCATGCAGTTGAAATCTTGTGCAATACCTAGTAAAGGTCCTATAATTTTTTTAAATTTCTTTCCTTGTTTTATAAAAGAAATTTGTTTAAGACTAAAAAATCACAAAGTTTTAGCCTTTTTAGATTTAAGAGCTTGAGCTTATTTTATAGATAAAGACTTTATCAAAAAAGCAATAAATATTCTTAGTTAAAAAAACCACACATGTGCATGTAGAAGTAATTGATGATTGTTCATTGTCTTTTGGAGTTGTTACCCATAAAACTATTCTTTAAAATATAACAAATAGTGGTTATAATAGCTTAATAATATTTAATGTAATTAAATCTTCTTTTAAATCAATTATTTTAGGATTATCATGGCTAAAAAAATATAAGCATCTAATAGATTGGATTTTTCATAACTTTAATTTTTTTTCATAGATTAATCAAGGATTTTATAGTCAAATAAAAATCTATTAGTCCAATTCATCCAAATCCTTATTTTTAGGTATAAAATCTTTATACATGTTATAAAAGAAGGATCAACTTTTGCTATATATGCTACATCTATTTTTGATAGAAAAAAGATTTTAAATAGAATTCTAAGCCAATACCAAAATTATCAAGATGTTTTCAAAAAAAATATATAGATATTTTCTAGAACATTATCTCTATGATTATTCCATTGAACTTCAAGAAAGAATTCAATAATCATTTGAATCAATCTAAAGCATATTATAAAACAAGTTGGTTGTATTAAATGAGTTCATTGACAAAAACTTGGCCAAGAACTTCATTTGTCATTCAAAATCATGAGTAGAAGCTCCTATTTTATTTGTAAAGAAAAATGATAGATTTCTATAGATGAGTGTAGACTACGTAAGACTCAATAAGATTACTATTAAGAAAAATAGCTTTTACCTATAATTTCAAGATTTTTTAATCAACTCAATTAAGTATAGATCTACACAAAAATAGATCTATAAAGAGCATACAACTTGATCCATATAAAACAAGAAGATGAATAGAATATTACTTTTTGAACTAAATATGAATATTTTGAATTTAATGTCATACCTTTTAGACTCATAAATGTACCAATTATTTTTTAACATCTTATAAATGATATTTTTTGTGAATTCTTTGATGATTTTATTATCTATTATATAGATAAAATTTTAATCTACTTTAAGAATATAGGACATAAATTTCATGTTTTTCATTTGTTTCAAAAACTAAGAAATATAAGATTATATATTAAGATAGAAAAGTGTATATTTTATACTATTAAAGTTTACTTCTTGTAATAAATCATTTCAAATGATGGCCTTATGATGGATCTTTTGAAGGTCTAAACTATCATAGATTGGAAGGTTCTAAAAATAATAATAAAATATGTAATATTTTTTGAAATTTTTTAATTATTATTAAATATTCATTAAATTTTTTTTCTTAAGTTTTGGCTCTTCTTAGAAGTTTTTAATGTAAAGACAAACTTAAATGGAAGAAAGAAATTG